CACTACTTTGTTAACTAGCCAGTGTTCTCTGTGCCCTTTCTTGGTTTTTTGAACGTTTTTTGAACAAAAAATAAAAAGCCAGCAATTATCTAGAAGTATCTGTTTGTAGATTGTCATTACTAAACATTTCTAAAGGTGCCTTTGTTGTTATTTTGAAGATATGGTTAAAAGTCCACTTTAAATTCATACATTAAACTTTGTTACTTATTAAAGGAGAACTATGGGGTCAGGGCTTTTCCCCATAGTTCTCCTAAGGGTCACGGAAGAACACAAACTAGCGTTCTCCCGTGACCCAAAGCTGAGATGCAGCAGCCGGGACGGATCCCGGCATTACTGTCTGGATCAACTCAGCTGAGGGATTGACAGCTGGCTCTGCCTATCCAGAGGCAGAGCCAGCTGTAGCCCACCCCCTCCCCGTCCATTTCGCCAGTCAGCGCTGGAGGATCGGACAGGGGAGGGGGGGAACCCGACAGGGGAGGGGGGGAACCCCTGCAGGGAGCCGTGAGTGACAGTCACCGCTCTCTGCAGGGATAGATCGAGAAGTGAGCGAGCGACAGTATGTGTTCACTCACTTCCCGATCTACTGAGCCGACCTGTGACAGTTTCATTGTCACAGGTCGGCTCAGATTATGAGGCTGAGTGAAAATCACTTGCCTCATAATTCTCCTTTAACTTTGTGATTGTTTTATTGATATTTGAAGATAAACCACTAGATGCAATTTTCAGTCATACAGTGCAGTTACTTTGCCTCCCTCTGAACATTTGTTGAGAAAGGATTTAAGCCACAAAGGGATTACGTTGTCCTAAATAATTTGTCCAGTCCATAGACTTGCATTCACAGGAGAGCGGTAAGGTGCAACCATTGAGTAGCACTACAAAGCAGGAAACAGTGCACACATATAGATCTAAATCATATAATGATTACATTGCAAAGGCTATTCACAGCCAAGTAGAAAATGACTCTGCAGTAGAGGTGGAGAACAGCCTAGAGTGCACCACATTTGGATTAGTATTAAACTAATAAATCGATAAAACACTAATCATTTTATTTAAAGGTACATAATAGAATGCATCAAAATGTTACTGGCTAAAATACAGGTAATGACCCAGTATACCATATTGCAGGAGCCACACTGCAGAAACCCCATTAATAGGACAATGATTTTTTTTATTTTTAAAACCATTTTTTTTTTAAATATAAATATATTATTTTAAAATATAAAAATATTTTTTTTTTTTTTATTTGATCATCGTTCTGTTACTGTAACTTTAAGACTGGCTATTTTCTCTAAAATGATCCAAAAATAAGTTAACAGATCTGTGCTCAGAACAGAGTCATTGGAACCGTTAATAAGGCCAGCTCATCAAACCCATGTTCAGAGCAAATTTACAAGCATCAAACTCAGGTCAATTTACCAGAGCTATACCAGGTCTAAATTACCAGAGCCATGTTGTGGGATCCAAATGATGAAAGAGACATCAGATGACAAAGGACTGGCGAAGCTAAGGGAGGCAATGTATGTCCCAGGGGAGGGGGTAGTATCACACTTTGACAAATAGTTCTGCTTCAGCCAGCAGGCTAAAGAAATGTGGGAAATGCAGTGCCCTGAGCTATCACTGTAAACTAGCTGTGGGCACCGACGACTGGGACACCATGGCAGACATGGTATAATGCTGTACTACACAAGCAATATTAAGGCCGTCTGTGAAAACATTCTGGATTAACAACCTGAGCTTCTCAGTGACTAAATTCAAATGACTTTGTATTATAATGACATCAACATACAAATAAAAAATGCCAAAACATTGTGTATTCTGCGCGTGTTTATTGGCATATCTGTTACTAGCTCCACTGAAGATACAATCAATGCAATCGAAGACAACAAGGCATATGAAATAAGTGACATTTAAAAATGGATATAATTGTGTGCTCATTTCATACTAAATGAGTGAACTTCCTTAAAATATCACCTTTTTCACAGGCTGACATAATATATTCAGGATTAATAAAATGTACAATATGCAACAATCCTTTAATTTTATACAGGATTGAAGTTACAGCCTGCAGACATTATATAAAGTTGCTGTGTGCTGAGGCCATGATAAAATGAATATCATGATTCATAGATTTTTATTTCAGTCCTTCAAGGAAGACCTAACGTGTACGTCAGCTCATAACAGATTGGGTTGATGCCAGACAGTCTCTTTTGGCATTTTATAACAATTTAGGTCTCTGAGATAGGGAATCCCCCTTCTTGGCGCTATGCCACAGATTTTCTCAGGCCATATGCCAAGCTATATTGTCCTGCAACTCAGGCTAGATGCTCACTTTATTCCACTGGACACATTCATTTGTACATGGTATGGTTGAGTCAACTAAATGAACCAGCAGTCTTAATCTTGTGGCAGAGATTTTGACTCTGTAACTATATACAGCACTCCTTAGGGTTGTGCTCACATAAGGGCTTGGCTTATGTAGGGTGTCAGGAATTGTGCTGTGTTTTGTAACACAAGAAAAGTACATAGCCATGAAAAAAGACTCTCTTTTCCGTAGGGCCAGTTCTCATTTATCTACTGCATTGTAGAAAAGTCCCAAAGTCAGCACTTTGAGAGTGTTTACCTGCCGTTTCCCATTCAGTCAAATGAATGTTGAAAAACTAATTCCAACATGTTGGAAAATGTACGGCTGCTAGCTTACAGAAGCTTGCAATACCCGAATAACTTTTTATATGTTTCAGGGATCAAAGGACCATTTTCTCAAATTGCATATTCCCAAAATGCTGGTATGATTTTCTAGTGAATGCAAGGTCTTAGAAGGCAACAAAAATATATATAGAATTATAGAATTTCTTTATACATGATAAAACACAGTTCCCTGGTTCAATTTTAAGGGTGGTATTTGCCTGCAAAATATGATTTTGGAAAATGTATGTTACATATAACTATCTATGTTTTTCAAGCCCAAAAGCACAAAGGCAATGAAGGTAGGCATGCCAGGACTTCATGAAGATTGCAGTGAATTGTGGAATTCCTCTTGCTATCCCAAAAGGAATGCCTTAAAGTTCAATATCGCTTTTTTCTCTAATGTCAAGCAAGTCCTATGACAACTCTATGTATAAAGAGCAGCTATGAAAATTCTGTGTAAAAATCAAATTTACCTCCTTTGCCTTTCTTCATGCTTCCTTTCACCTATGGGCTAAAATTGTAATTATTTCTTCTATTAGATGACCTCAATCAACAAAAAAATATTTAGCCAATCATGAAAGGACAGATAAAGCAATTGTATCCAGGCAGACTAAACACACACTGCAAATAAGACTTCTGATGGTAGGTTTATTTAAACACAGATTTTTTACAGGTGCTATTAAAAGAATTGCTATGAAGCTGTAACAGGAAAAAGAGAGCTTTCCATAGCTTCTGTGCACAGTTACTATTAGATGAGGTATTAGGACAAAGGGCATAGGTCACTTTAGACAGTAAACTAAGAAGTAATTTTGATCAGCTGTTGGGAAGACCGGTGAGGGGTCTGAACCAAGCTGAGGAAAAATAGGTTACGTGAAACCATTTTGACTTATGCTTCAGGTTTGAACTGAAAGGGGAAGATGTAGGTTTTTGTGACAAACTATTATTTTTTAGATATGTGTTTACTAACTTAAATTTGATATCCATTCCCAGTACACATTTTGTTTCTAAAGCTTAATGCAAGCCCTTGAGCATACCGAGGATTTTGCATAAAGTAGCTATTAGAATGCCAAGTATAGGCACAGTGCCACCATGATTGATAAGAGTAACAAACTATATGACATGACACTGCTGGAGTCCACAACATGGTTGCCTACAACATGTGCAGGTAGCAAGAACTCTTACACAAATATCAGCTGACATGTTGTGCTCCATTGAGGTAAAACTGCAATATTTTACTTACATTAGTTAACTTTTTGTTGTGACTTCATTTAGAACAAATTTCTACAAACTATGACAGTAATTAGGAAGAGTAGAGCGTTTTAAGCATGATACACTTATTTTTTAAGCTGCTCACATATTATGCAAATTGGGAATGATATACCTGGCTGACGGCCTGTCATGGACTCCCTATGATTCCAGGAGTCAGAATAAAAGTTTTTCTACTTGCGAGATTTCCTAATTGTTGTTGCAAACAGCAGGCTCCCCGCACCCTGGCAAAGCTCGAGTAAGACCTTGTCACAGGAAAACGTGGGCCAAAACATGTAATTTGTCAAGAACTGTATTTATTATTCAATATTATTTACAGTAAATAAAAATGACATGCCAACATACACCAGGCCTTGTAAGATGTAGCTAGCCCATTTAATAATCACTCGTGATGTCTTCTTTTGATGAAAGGTGCAATAGATTATAATCCATTTAAACATCCATCTCAATTGAAGTGTAAAATCTTATTTACATTACTCAATATTAGACAGTTAAGCTTAAAAGTATATTTTTAACACTAAAAATGAATTGTAACATATTTCACATCATGCCCAGGCTATATGAAATATAATACCTTTGCTGTCATTATTTTACCTTCTTCCTATCACCTTACTTTTCTCACAAGTATATCAAAACCGTACATGTGTCCTTCTTTACCAAAAGGATCATTTACATCTGAAAACAGCTAAGATATTCCAAACATTCGCAGCAGCTTTAATTACAATCAGATCTATTCCCCTGCTGCTCGGTGAAGAAACGAGAGTGGCCACTTTAAGGTTTTTCAAAAGCAGAGGATCAGCATAGGATCATAATCATTCTCCTACATGACTGGTAAAAAAAAAAAACCATCACAGCATTTCCAACAGTTCATCTGCTGCTACTTCCTATTTTTAAAAATACTCTTTGAAAGCACTCGCTACTTGAATGGAGATTTTAATCACACATTATTTTATGTCTGCACCCTCTATGCCAGGAACAATTGCTTGTCACCCCCCACCCCTTTATCTTCTTACGCTCCTAATTCAAGGATTTAGACAACGCTAACTTACGTTTTCCCGTCCTCTTGTCAATGGATGATGGAGATACAAGAAGCAGTGCTCCAGAAGTCACACTGTCAAACAGCATGCAAATGTCTGAAGGGAACCTGTGCATTGAGAATTGTCTGTTCTGTATCTATTTCCTCTCAGAGCTCACCACGCCGGCTGCAGCACTTTGCTAACTGCTGCTGAGGTGCTGCGTGTCCTGTGCAGATTGTTTCAGCCAGACAGAGTCGAGGCATAGAGCTTTAATCTCCTTTCATGATAAATTGTTGCAATCGCATGTACCGCACAATGCACACACACTCCACATGCTCTTACAGTCCTTAATGTCAGATGAGTCACAGAGACAGAGGAAGAGTGGACTTGTAAAATACTTGTGTGTCGAGGAAACTGGAGTGCATTCAAATAAATGGTACCCAGGAGTGAGCAAGGAACCTAACTGATATATAAAGATTCATCTCCAGCATCAGATTGCCTATTAGGAGAAAGGCACATTCAGCAAGCACAGTGTGTGTCAAAGCTCCTCACTTTATTAAGCAGGTAAAGACAAATAAAGGGACATTTATAAAAGCTAGTGTTGGCCAAAATTTCTAAAGATGAAGTGCAGCCAAAAAAAAAAAAATGTTGCATGTGAAATTTGTATTCTTGTAATAGCAGTGCTGGTGGCAGCAAATCACGTGTTTACAACAGAATAGGATGTGGGTAGTATCTGCCCTTGCAAACACTGTTCTGAAAAACAGCTTTCTAATGTTACCAAACAACAAAATATCTTTATCTTAAAAAGGTCAGACCACTCTAAATTGGCATTCCAGTTTTGGGTAGATGTTGGCGTGGTAAGTCACCCACCATCTTTTATCATAGTGAATCAGCCACTGATTTTAAGGTCTAAGCTCCTCCCACTTGCCAACGATTTTTTTTTCTTAAATAAATATCTGTGTTTGTGTTTGAATTGATGTATCCCTTCTATGATGATGGTTATTTGTGCATCTAAAAAATGACTGTTTGTATCCCCAAATAATAACTTCATAATCCCTGCTTTATTCCACTTTGCTGCCATATCATTATCCAAGCATCAGGCTGAAAGACATTTGTAATCTCACCACCATGCTGGTTACACAGTGCTTTCACTTGTATGATGTTTGCTCTTACAATAGATTTCACACCAGGGTTGGGTAATTTCTGATTTGTAGGGTTATCCTGTTTGCAGATTACTGACAGTCTAAACGTGTACATGTAATTCGTAATACTTTTGTTTTACTGAACCTATTCTGAAGAGGTTTACATGTACTAACTTTGCCAAGGCAGAATATAACAAATAGCACAGAGAAACATTTAACCATTGCACTGCCCACAATTACCCTTAGTATCACTTTAGAAATGTGATAAGTGACCCAAGACTTGAACACGGCACACTGTTTTTACAACTGCAGTCCTGGCATAGGGGTCTTCAGTATAGTTACATAGTTACATAGTATTTGGGGTTGAATAAAGACATACGTCCATCAAGTCCAACCCATATAGGTCCACCATCATCTCATTCTTAGGGATACTGGTATCCCTGGATATTACGGTCCCTCAAGAAATTGTCCAAACGTTTCTTGAACAAATCTACACTCTAGGCTGAAATCACTGCCGACGGCAGTGAGTTCCAGACCTTAACCGCTCTTACTGTAAAGAACCCTCTTCGCCCCTTGTGCTGGAATTTTTTCTCCACCAACTTTAGGTGGTGGCCTCTAGTCTTTGTAATGGAGTTAATCTCAAACAGTTTGTTGCCAATGTTGCTGTCACCATTGAACATCTTGTACATGAAAATCATATCCCCCCTTAATCTCCTTAATTTCAGCGTAAACATGTTTAAGGTCAGAAGCCTTGTCTCATAGCTCTGGTCCTCCATTCCCCTAATTAGTTTTGTTGCCCTCCGCTGGACTCTCTCCAGTTCAAGGACATCCCTTCTCAGTACCGGCGACCAAAACTGGAGCGCGTACTCCAGATGTGGCCGAACCAACGATCTATATAGAGGCACAATTATAGACTTGTCCCTGCAATACATCCCCTTCTTAATACAGGACAAGACCCTGCTAGCTTTGTTTACCGCAGCTTGGCACTGCAAGCTACCATTCAGTTTGTGGTCTACAATGACCCCCAAATCTTTTTCTATTTCTGACTTCCCTAGCGGCATACCCATGATTGTATAGCCTATTTGTTTATTTTTATGTCCAAAGTACATTACTTTGCATTTATCGACATTAAACCTCATCTGCCATAGTATTGCCCACTCCCCTATTTTATCCAGGTCCTCCTGCAATGTTATATTGTCACGATCCGTTTCTAGTACCCTCCCTATTTTTGTATCGTCTGCAAACGATAGCAGTATGAATCTTTTAAATCCTAAAATTTGAACTCCCCAGAACACTTAAAGTGACACTAAACTCCTTCCTTCTGGAGGGTGGCTACTTTTGTTCACCATGGTCCTTATGTGGGTTATAAAGTAGTCAAGCTCACTCCTGTGGTGGACAACAATCTCAACATAAATTAATAAACTAAACAAGAGATTGTAGTCCATCATGGGAGTGAGCTTTACAATACACACACAGGGAACATGGGGACCAAAAGTAACCACCCTCCAGAAGAAAGGACAGTGTCAGTATGAATTCGGAGATGATTTGAGCATCTACAGCTTAGTGATACGCAAATAAGATACATTTTTGTTACAAGTATTTGAATGCATTTTTGAGATTTAACTCCAGAGTTTTGTGTCACTTCCACCCTAATTTCTTACCTAATCCTGCAATGTAGCTTCTAACCGGACCCCTATCACCCCTAAACCCACCATAACTTGTAAAGGCAAAAAAAAGCCTATGCAGGCACCACATTTAAGGATTTGTAAGCTGCAATATATTACATTTTGGATTTTGGATTTAGATGTGCTTTAATTTATTCATCACCCACTGGACAAGTGAAATAAAAATTATAATGAAATAATTAGTAGATTTAAAAAAACAAACTTGTTTTAAACCTTTTTATCTATTTGCTCAGTGCTATCTATGGTACAGTATAGACTGTTTACCAATATGTTTCAACAGTAGAAAATACATCCATTGTGTGGTTTAAGCTACATTTTAGACAGTGCTGACAACTTTGATTAGAAGGATAGGTTCAGCTGACCCATCATAGCACTATACAGTATATTAGGCATACCCTGCATGGCATGTGCTTGACATGTTGTACTGATTTTGTACGTGTTAAGATATATGTTACAAAAAAGCACTGGAATGTGACTTATAATTTATCTCCCCTTTTTTTAACCTAAGTAGTGGAAGCAAGAAGATGTCTTTGACATACAGTAGACCCTGCATCTACTATGCATCTACTAGTGGAGTTTTAAACCTGAGAGGCTATTTCATGTCTGAAGTGTAAGGTTTAGTGCCTACAACCTATAACGCTGACTTCTTCACTGTTCAAGGCTCAATGTGTCCATCAAATTGAGATTCTATTTCACTTACTAGAACTGCTTTTCAAGAGTCGTCGTGCTAATATGAACATCTTTTCAAGTTCTGCCTTGCTCCTTTAGGTGGGTGCTTTTAGGACAATTAAAGAAATCCAATATGCCGAGAGAACATGTGCGTGTTTGAGTCTCTCGGAGCGTCAGAATCCCACAAAGAAAGAAATGGTTGACCTTTTTATTTCAACTTGTAGCTCACCTATTCTGGTCATTATAACTGATCCCAGACTCAGTTTCCATCACATTAAGGTGACTGAAGGCAAGCAATGTCACACACTCGATTCATCTGTAAGAATAGGCTACAAACTGTTGTATTTTAGCATTTTCAAATTATCATTTATTATACCAGGTAACTCACTTCCCTTGAAAGGACCAGCTCAAAGATCAGCGCAGCATATTAAAGGTTGCATTATGTTCTAACAATCATAATGTTAAGAGAAACTTCAAAACCTTAAAGTGATATTAAAGTCAAAAGGTTTTAAAGCTATTTCAAATGCTGATTAAATCAAAACAAAACACAGAGAGCGCCTCCATCGCGTAAAAACTTTTTATTAAAACAAATATAAACAAGTGTAAGCAGAGACCCTGCTAAAGATCATACTGGATTTCTGTCTGAACATTTAAAGGGATTTATGGTTGCTGGCCTGACACAGTGTGTACACAAGTGGATACTGGAGAATCTTCACAGAGACTTTGAATGTAATTGAAGCGGGAGTTTTTAACCATCCCTGCAACCCCCAGGTGCTCTCTAATTATGAGCCTGTGCTGAGCCGCGATATATAAAAGGGAGCCAATAGAACACTCCCAATTGGTTCTGACGAAGGAGGCGTGACCTCAGAAATGCGTAAACCATCAGGGAGGATGAACAGCCGGCTGGCTAAGTCCCTCGTGTTCATATCATTTCATGCCTGTTTTAACTCCACATTTGTGAGTATCATTGCACTTGTTTATATTTGTTTTAACCACTTGAAGACCGGGGTGTTTCACCCCCTTCCTGGCCAGGCCATTATTCAGTATTCAGCGCTGCGGTACTTTGACTGACGTTTATTCCGTCATGCAATGCTGTACTGATACGAATTTCATACCATTTTTTGGGGACAGATAGAGCTTTCTTTTGGTGGTATTTAATCACCGCTGGGGTTTTTATTTTTTACTATATAACAAAAAAAGTACCCTAAATTTTGAAAAAAAACATGTTTCCCTATAAAATGTTATGAAACATTTATTTTCACCCCAATTTTTTGGTATAATATAAAAGAAGGGGTCACGTCGGGTAAATAGACACTAAACATGTCAACCTTTAAAATTGCACGCGCCCGCGAAATCGCAGAAACAGCCGCAACTAAAATTGGCCATAGGCGACACGTTTTTATAGTTTTTATGCGATGGAGGCGCTCTCTGTGTTTTGTTTTGCAGTGCTGAGGTTTCCCTAAAACCTATTGAGAGCTGCTTCGTTAGCGTCTTATATCACGATCACTGCATTTCTCTGTCCTTTCCTGGACTCAAGCCGTTGGCGCTGTGTTATATACTGTTTGTTGCTGATTAAATCAGTTACAATGAATGCTGTTTCTTTATGTTTAAGTTTTGGTTTCCTGCAAAATCAGCTGGTCCCCTGAACACTGGCCCTGATAACCTGTTTTAGGGTGGCTCCTTTCCCAAGCAGGGTCCTATGGAGCCACCATTGTATGTGCTAGCAAGCTGTGTGTTTCTTCACAAGCATACAGACACAGCAGGGCAATCCAATCCTCTAATTAATTGGCTGCTATAAGCAACATTTCCACTTCTTTTTGCTTAAAGTGTATCTAAAGCTAAATGTTTTGAATAGAGTATGAAAAGTTCAGTTTTTTGTCATCTGAAGTTGGGTAGTGG